TCTTTATAGCAGCACCCCACTCTCTTCAGTACCAATTTACTGTATTAGTCCATTCTCATGCTACTAATAAAGACATGCACAAGACTAAGTAGTTTATAAAGGAAAGAGGTTTAATTGGCTCACAGTTCCCCAGGGCTGAGGAGGCCTCAGAAAACTTACAGTCGTGGCAGAAGGGGAAGTAAACATGCTGTTCTTCACATAGTGGCAGGAAAGAGAAGAATGAGAGCAAAGAGGGGGCTGAGCCCCTTATAAAAACCATCTTGTCAGAATTCACTGTCACCAGAACAGCCTGAGGGTAATCACCCCCATGATTCAGTTACCTCCCATTGGTTCCCTCCCACAGCATGGGGATTATGGGAACTACAATTCAGATGAGATTTTGGTTGGGACACAAGCAAACCATATATCGATGGTAATTTGTATTTCTTTAGGTATCTATGTTTTTCTTATCCAGCTGTAATGATTTTGAAGGATGATCAAGATCAAAGTAGGTACTTTCCATTTTGAGTTATCTTTTTAAAGCCTCAGAGTATAGAATTATATTTATCCCCTTTATTTTATTTTATTTTTTATTATTTTTTGAGATGGGGTCTTGCTCTTTTGCCCAGGCTGGAGCCCAGTAGTGCAGTCTCAGCTCACTGCAACCTCTGCCTCCTGTGTTCAAGTGATTCTCATGCCTCAGCCTCTTGAGTAACTGGGATTACAGGTGTACGCCACCATGCCTGGCTAACTTTTGTATTTTTAGTAGAGATGCAGTTTCACCATGTTGACCAGGCTGGTCTCGAACTCCTGACCTCAAGTGATCTGCCTGCCTGGGCCTCCCAAAGTGCTGGGATTACAGGTGTGAGCCACTGTACCCAGCCCCTTTAAGTAAGAGTACAATTTTTTGAATTTTGACAAGTGTTGAAATTATGTAACCACCATCATCATGTTGTAGAGTATCTTTATTATCCTAAAAAGTGCCTCTATGCTCCTTTATGGTCAGTTTTCTTTTCCCAACCACTAATCTGCTTTCTTTCACTATAGTTTTGCTTTTTCTAGAATTTCTTTGTCTGTAGTATGCAGTGTTTTGCGTGTGACCTCTTTCACTATGTAATACTTTTGAAATTCATCCATATTGTTATCTGTATCCATATTTTTTTTTCTTTTTTTGAGATAGGATCTCGCTTTGTCACCTAGGCTGAAATGCAGTGGTGTGATCATAGCTCAATGCAGCCTCAACCTCCTAGGTTCAAGCAATCCTCCTACCTTAGCCTCCCAAGTAGCTGGGACTACAGGCATGCACCATCACACCTGGCTAATGTTTTAAGTTTTTTGCAGAAACGAAGGTCTCATTATGTTGCCTAGGTTGGTCTCCAACTCCCGGGGTTAAGTGATCCTCCTGCCTTGGCCTTCCAAAGTGCTGGGATTACGGGTGTGAGTCACTGTGCCCAGCCAGTAGTCTGTTTCTTTTATTTACAGAATAGTATTTTATGTATGGATATATAATTTGTTTATCCATGCAGCAGTTCATAAACATCTGTGTCATTTCCAGTTTTAACTCTTTAAAAATTTTGCTTTCCTAAAGGTTAGAATCTATAGATGATCATGCCCTAAGTGATGTGTCTTGGTCATGTATTTTGGAACTTCCTGTGCTTTATCAGGCAGCTCACTTAGGCTGGATCCTATTCTGATCATTCTAGCCTACTTATTTCAGATGTGCACTTTATGTACAGCTAAGATGTCCCTACACCCTGTGTTTTTGTTTTTTCTTGGAGATAAGGTGTTGCTCTGTTGTCCAGGCTGGAGTGCCGTGGTGCCGTCATAGCAGACTGTAGCCTTCTACTCCTGCTCCTGTCCCATTTTTGATGGAAATTGTCATAGTTCGTTTTGTGCTGCTATAACAGAATACTTGAGACTGGGTAATTTATAATAAACAAGTTTATTTAGCTCATGATTCTGGTAGTTGGGAGGGGCCTACATCTGGTGAGGGCTTTTTTGTCCTGTCATCTAATGGTGGAAGGCAGAAGGGCAAGAGAGCACTAGGGAGTGGGGGAGGGAGGGGAGAGGGCAAATTCATCCTTTATCAAGAACCATTAATCCATTCATGAGGGCAGAGCCCTTGTGACCTAATCACCTGTTAAAGATCCCACCTTTAATCATGGTTAGTTTAGGGATTAAGTTTCCAATACATGAACTTTGGTGGACTCATTCAAACCATAGCAGAAGTTCTCTGCTTTAAGGGCAGAACACATAGCTTGAATCTATTACTTGTCTCCAAACTCTTAGAGACACATATCAAGTTTTCCTAAAAATCCTTTGTTCCTTACTTCATTTGCAGTTTGGAGTGGGTCTCTTGAGTTTTTGCAGGTCAGCAAGCATCTAACTATGGAGTAGTAAGCATTCCTTAAACTCTCCAAGAGATTTTCTGTGGCCTGCCTAACCGAAGAGGAGAAGCATGGCCTTTCACCCTTTACCTCCTGCAGGGATAGTAGTGCATTGCATTCCCAACTAGGATGAAAACTCTCTTCAGAGAAAGCTCTCTCTTTCCTTAGTCTTTTACCTCTTCTGTAAATTGGCCATGGGTAATAATAGCCTGGGTTGCAGAACCAGTTTGGGCTACTCCTATAGGGGTGTCTGGTGCTTCTTTTTAGAATACGAAAGTGTGTTTCCATTGTTCTCAGATCTGGGCTTTGACACAACGGTAATGACTCCATCTTTACATTTTAGTGTGTACAGCTCCTTAGAATAAGCATTCTCCTTCCTCTAATCATGGAACCCGGGCCTAATCAAGGAAAATATCACATTTCTAGATTTAGAGCACCTTCTATGTGGTAGAGACTAAACCGAGAGTCATAAAACCTAGGTTCATTTTGGCTCATTAACTAAATAAATATATAAATAACTGCGTAGTTTCCAGGACCTCAGCTTCCTTAACTATTAAAAGGATATGGATGAGCCCTTCCAGATGTAAGTGCCTATGATTTCATAATTGTATGTATCATATAATTGTAAAATAATTGTGCAGAAAGCAATAGCAGAATCCATAAGAAGTCAAATGATGGCCTTCCAGGAATTAATACTTTTAACATATAGGATAAACTACTTATATTAGTGAAATATAACTTAGGAAGGAGTTGAACATCATAGTGGGAAAATTATCATAGGACATGAACAGAAAATTAACAAAAGAAAAATGAAAACTGCCATTTAACAATGTTTAACCTGATTGGGAATCAAAACATGCAAATTAAATCAAAAGTAAGATATCATTTTATCATAGTAGCAAGGATTTTTAAAAAATGATGCTAATAGCCATTAGCATTATGGATGGTTAAAGATGTGGGAAAATAAGCACTCTTTTATATTTCCAGTGAAAGTGTAAATGGTATTAACCTTAGATATGTAAAAATTATGATGTAAATCTATATTGATATGGAACCATGCCTATAATATATTTTTAAGTGAAAACTATGTTAAGCTTATGGCTTGTTGGGGGAGAAGAATGCTCCCTTGTATACATACTTGTAAATGTGTATGCCAGAGAAAACTGGACTGCTAGACCTCAGAATTTTAATGATTATTTCTAATTGGTAGTTACATGGATGATTTTTCTATCTTATCTATATCTTTGTATATAGACTGAATTTTTGTAGTATTTACTAGTTTTAATTTTTAAATAGAGAAAATGTGCATATTGCTAAAAATTCAGATAAAAAAGTTAACCGCATGTGATGATGTGCACCTGTGGTCCCAGCTACTCAGGAGGCTGACAAGGGAGGATTGCTTGAGCCCAGTAGGTCAAGGCCGCAGTGACCCATAGTTGCACCACTGTACTCCAGCCTGAATGACAGAGCAGATCTTGTCTCACACAAAATATGGGGGATGGGGGGCAAAGGATATGAATAGGCAAGAGTAGAAATCCAGACTTAAATTACAAATATTCTTTGACCTAGTTTTTTCATATCTAGGAATTTAAGGATATAATCATGGATTTATACAAAGAGTTTTCTATAATGTTCATTGCAGCTTTGTATATAATGCTAAATTTGAAATCAAACATACTGTTCAGATTGCTAGAGGAATCCAAAGAGGGAAGGGTATAGAATGGCAACTTAGGGAAATATTTTAAGATTCTGTGTTGGTCAAAAAGTCTAGTGAACCAAATTTATATTTTCAGTTAATGTCTTAGGAAAGTTGATTATATGTATATACTAAAAAAAAAATTGTTAAACACATCTCTAATCTTTCTAAATTAAAATTTTTTAAACTTTCTTTTTCTGTAGCTCATTTTTTTAAATTTTATTTTAGGTTCTGGGGTACATGTGCAGGTCATGCAGGGTTGTTGCATAGGTGCATTTCTCCCCATGTTATCCCTCCCCACCCTTCCCATACCCCAATGTCCCTCCCCTAGACCCTCCCCACAACTGCCCCCAGTGTGTGCGGCTCCTCTCCCTGAGTCCACGTGTTCTCATTGTTCAACACCGCCTATGAGTGAGAACATGCGGTCTTTGGTTTTCTGTTCTTGTGTCAGTTTGCTGAGAATGATGGTTTCCAGATTCATCCAAGTCCCTACAAAGGACATGAACTCATTGCTTTTTATGGCTACTTAGTATTCCATGGTGTATATGTGCCACATTTTCTTTGACCAGTCTATCATTGATGGGCATTTGGGTTGGTTCCAGGTCTTTGCTATTGTAAACAGGGCAGCAATGAACATATATGTGCATGTGTCTTTATAGTAGAATGATTTAAAATTTTTAAAACTTTTTTCTGTTTTCCATGTAGGTATATCTTATTTACCTGTCTCTTGATAGATTTCAGAGCTTAAACTGAAAAAGTGATTTGTTCAAAATCTTATTACTAGATAGTAATGACAGATTTTTACTTTTCATTTCTAACGCCATTAACCATAGGTCATTGTAATATCCTTTCTTCACAATAAAAATGGAAAATCTTTTGTGGAAATCATTTTCTGTAAATATGTATTTAATACTTATTTCATCTTTCTTACCTTTCAGAATTACCATGAAATTATGACTCGTCATCCTGAGAATTATCAATGGGAAAACTGGAGTCTAGAAAATGTTGCCACCATTTTAGCCCACCGGTTCCCCAATAGTTATATTTGGGTGATAAAGTGTTCCCGAATGCATTTGCACAAATTCAGCTGCTATGACAATTTTGTAAAAAGTAACATGTTTGGTGCCCCAGAACACAATACTGACTTTGGAGCTTTTAAGCACCTTTATATGTTATTAGTTAATGCTTTTAATTTAAGTCATAATAGTTTATCAAAGAAAAGTTTGAATGTTTGGAATAAGGACTCCACAGGATCTAACTGTAGATCCAGTTCTTCTCATACTACGAATGGTTGCCAGGGAGAAAAAGAGAGGACCTGTGAAAAATCTGATGAGTCTACCATGAGTTTTTATCCACCCTCACTAAATGATGCATCTTTTACTTTGATTGGATTCAGTAAAGGTTGTGTTGTTTTGAATCAGTTGCTTTTTGAATTGAAAGAAGCCAAGAAAGACAAGAACATAGATGCTTTCATCAAAAGCATAAGAACAATGTATTGGCTGGATGGTGGTCATTCTGGAGGAAGCAATACTTGGGTTACTTATCCAGAAGTTTTGAAAGAATTTGCACAAACAGGGATTATCGTTCACACTCATGTAACACCTTACCAAGTACGTGATCCAATGAGATCTTGGATTGGAAAGGAGCACAAGAAATTTGTTCAGATACTTGGGGATTTTGGTATGCAGGTGACTAGCCAAATTCACTTTACAAAGGAAGCTCCTTCCATAGAGAATCACTTCAGGGTTCATGAAGTATTTTGAGATTACACGTATATTAATGAACTTGTTGAGTGGAAGAACATAAGCATTTTGAGTGTTATAAATTCAGATAATGGGATGTAATTCATGGCTGCATTGTCAGTTTTGGGGTATGGGGGGGGAAGCACACATTCCTAAAATATGAGTGTAATGTGCAGTGGTATTTTTTGCTTGTGAATGTGAACAGTAAAAATTTGGATTGGGTTAGAATTAATTTGAAATTTAACAAGGTGGTTTGTAATAATCCTGAGGAGATATAAGACCCTTAAAAAATGAAAGTTACCCTAAAGTGCAATAAAACACATATATATATGTATGTATATATATATATATATATATATACACATATATATATATAAAATGAAAGTTACAACATAGTTCTTATAAAAGGTAACTAAAATTGTTATTGTTGGAAATAGCTGATTTTCTGAGTAATGTTTTAAACTAATTTGGTGACATTTTAACAGTAATTAGCTATTTTGGCACTTAAAACGTGAGTGGAAATATTTTCATTTCTCTTCTAACAAAAGCAAAGGTATGATGCTGTTTTCTATCATTTTGGAATAACTGCACCCTGCCTCTTTTGTTTTGCAAACTCATTGACTCATTCTTTCATGTGTGCCACCAAGTACTTTTCTCATGAGAATCAACATATATTTGTTTCCAAATGTCCAAGAGTATACAATAGTGTAAAGGTGGTTTTAAAAAACATAGCCCGGTGGTGGTACGTGCCTTTAGTTCCAGCTACTCAGGAGGCTAAGGCAGGAGGATTGCTTGAGCCCAGGCTGTGGTTCACCATGATTGTGTTTGTGACTAGCTACTGCACTCCAACCTGGGCAACATAGTGAGACTTCATCTCTAAAACAAAACAAAATTACACTTAAGCACTATTGTTTAATTTTTAATTGATGGTTTTTTATTATTTTGGATAAGACATTCTGGGGTTTCTTGAATCTTGGCCAAAACCTAGTTGTTTTGGAAAATTGCTTTAAGTTGAGCATATTTATGTATATTGAATAAAAATGTACTACAGAGCAAATTTCAAATTTTTCATTATATCGGTCTTTTTGGGATCAACTTGGAAAAAATAAATATATAATGTTCTATTTGTTAGAGCTCTATTAAAAAGGAAACAGATTCCATAGATCTAAGTCAATGTTTCTCCAGAAGCATGATTTTGTCTGCCAAAAGAAAATAGCTCTCTTTGGCCAAAATGCAAAATTACATTGCTATAAGAAAAGTTACAAGGGAAAGTTTGAAGACACAAATGATTTAATTTTGGCTCAAAAACTGAATTTGCTTAACGCTGCTACATAATTTGGGTGAAGTTTCCTTCTGCCCGTTTTTCTTGACCTAGATAAATACACTTTGAGAAATCAAGATCTAATTAATGTCAACCAACATTGACATTGTAATTGGGTAATTACAATAAAAGGTGAACAGTTTGTTGTTTATTAATAATTAGCTTTTGCAGGACATGAAATGGCTAAGCAGGAAAGTAACCTGCTGCTTTAGGACTTAAAAAAAAAAAAAAAAGACACTGAAGCTTAATACCTTAATGACCCAGAAGACCTAGATTTATAAAGCCATATAGAATAAAAATGTTAATTTCTTGGTTTCTTCCCAGAATTATATTTTAGTGACTCTGTAAATACATTCCAAATACTCAGAGACTCATCAGAAAGGATTCTTACTTAACAAATGCTTAAAAATAACATTGCTGGCTAGGCTTGGTGGCTCATGCCTGTAATCCCAGCACTTTGGGAGGCCAAGGCAGGTGGATCACGAGGTCAAGAGATCGAGACCATCCTGGCCAACATGGTTTAACCCCGTCTCTACTAAAAATACAAAAAAATTAGCTGGGCGTGGTGGCGCGCGCCTGTAGTCCCAGCTCCTCAGGAGGCTGAGGTAGGAGAATTGCTTGAACCCGGGAGGCATAAGTTGCAGTGAGCCGAGGTCGCACCAGTGCACTCCAGCCTGGTGCCTGGTGACGGAGTGAGACTCTGTCTCAAAAAAAAAAAACTAAAACAACAAAAAATTGCTTTTTGGTGTTTTAACACTTAATTTTATAAACCACAGAACAGCATCTCTAAATGGTTTTAAGACAAAGTTGTTTTATGTTGCTTCAGTTTCTTTAAATACCTGCTGTTTCTTTTGAGACCAAAAATTCCCATCAAGGAAATGAATCAGCCTGATTTTAACATTTAACATGTTACATTGCCTTTAAGCACTGATAGGATAGTTTTTTTTTTTTTCTATCTCTTTAATAATCCGTGGTTAAATTCACATGCATCTAAAGTAAAATAGCTGAGGTACTGAATTCTCTGAGAGGAAGAAAAAGCATTTATTTTCACGATTAACTGAAATGGAAAAGTAAGACATTTAGCAGAATTCATTTAAAAATAATTTAAATAAAATAATTTTTAAAAATCAGACATGTTTAAAATTATGGGTTCTTTGGCTATCCAGTATTTGAATGCTTAATTATAATTTTTACATGTTGAATGGATATTAAGAGTAACTCACCAGGCACCTAAAACTGCCATCATAGCAAAATGAGACAATGTTGAAAAGAAAAAAAATATTTTCTGGAATGAAAATATATTCAAGTTGATCCATATTCAGATGTTTTCTGTTTAATACTTTCGATTGGTCCTTTGTCCACATTTGTTTCAAACTGTTACTGTAATGTTAATGTATACATTTGGATTGTGCCTTTGTCATGAGTTGAGAAAAGTAGTCCTACAAATGTGAAAGTTGTTACCACCACAGCATGAATGTATAATTGTATTAAAGTTGATCATCCACAGAGGTTTGTTTGGATGTGCTTTATATTATTAGCATTGTTAAAACTTCAGATTTTTTAAAAGGAAGGCATTTCTCTCCATACTGCTAGTTTGGGTTTGTATACAGTAAGTCGTCACTTAACATGTCAGTAGGTTCTTGGAAACTGGGATTTGAAGCAAACCAATATAACAAAACGTTTTTTTTCCCCTCATCATTGTTTTTTAACTAAGTGACAATGAAAAAAATGTTATTTGAGGACCTGCTGTTTGTCCTTTTGTTTAAAGTTACAGGATGTTGAGGACTTACTGTACATTTTTTCATTATCCTCCATGTTTTTTCAAATGAGCAACTTTGAACCTTTTCTGTGAAAATACATATCTTCTCCCTTTTAAATTGCTCCATAAACATTTGCATTATATCCACTGCTGCTGGCTTTCATAGAGAACGAAATCTCTAACAAGTTCATCTTTTTCCCCTTTTCTGTGCTAATTCTCAGGGATCTATAGTCCTTTAGCTCCTTACAAGACTTGGTCAGGATATGGTGTAATCTATTTTTCTTTTCATTCATGTACTATCTAAGCAACCACCAAGGTCAAGGAGGGTCTAGGCAATGAGGATGTAGGACAAACAATACAAAGTCCCAGCATGCTGGTATAGAAATGTTTAATACATTAAACTTATGAGGTAAAATACAAAAGTAGTATTCATAAAAGAGCTTATTTTATTTTACTTAAAGGCCTTTAAGAGAAACAAACATTAGAAAAGATATAGATAGACCTCATCTGTAGACTCATGTTCCTCTTTACAAAGGCAGAGATCCAGCAGCTGTTAAACTAGTTAGTGGTGGAGACAGGCAGAGTCACCAGAAAAGGTCATTTTAGTATCCTGCTTAATGGAACTTAAAAAGAGACTACAACTTCGGTATATTTAAGACACCTAAAAACTTGTGGCTTGTATGCTTGAAACAAGACTAAGGTAACACCAGAGATGTGTGGGTGACTGCCAATCTATGTTAGTTCCTCCTGACTACATCTATTTTTTAGCACTGGGGAAAGGAGTCACAGCAGCACAGTTCCAATTCCATCCAGGCCTGCCTTCCAGCTTCCTGCATTTTTTTTTTTTTTTTTTTTTTTTCAACTCCTTTGATGTCTGTTGGCAACTTTTTATAGGTGATAGAAAAGCCGCCTTACTAAGGTTCTTTCCAAATGTTCACATAGCTGCTGTTCAAAAGGATGAAGGATACAAATTAAGTTTTGTTGACTTTGTTTCCTTTGTTTTCATATTTCAGCAAAGTGAGTTAGAAATTAATTACTGAACAAATAGAATTCTAATTTGCATCCAAATACCAAGACAAACAATGTTACGAAATGCTAATTACACTCTGCAGTGTTTTTAAATTTGAGATGGCTCTCCCATGTTGCCCAGGCTGAACTTGAACTCCTGGCTTCAAGACTTCAAGCACTCCTCCTGCCTCAGCCTCCCAAGTAGCTGGTACTACAAGTGTGTACCACCACTCCCAGCTCTGCATATAGTATTTTTTTTTTTTTTGAGATAGGGTCTCACTGTCACCCAGACTGGAGTGCAGTGGCACAATTCCAGCTCACTACAACCTGCACCTCTCAGGCTCAAGTGATCTTCCTATCAGCTTCCTGAGTAGCTGGGACTATTGGTGTGTACCACCACACCCCGCTAATTTTTTTGTATTTTTGGTAGAGACAGGGTTTTGCTAGGTTGCCCAGTCTGGTCTTGAACTCCTGAGTTCAGATGATCCACCCATCTCGGTGCATATAGTATTTTTAAAATGCATTTTGAAAGGGTAATGTGAACAAAAGTTCAAATAATATAAAACTGCAGATTCCCATCGGCCCACATAGTTGAACCTCTTCTTGAAGGCATCAGTATCACTAGTTTCTCTTGCATCCTTAGAAATAATTATATGCATATGCAAATAAGATGTTCACACACCACATACCTTATTACGCAAGTCGCAGTACGGTTCATTTTTTTCATGTAACTATACTGGAAAAATTCCATGCCTGTGCATATACCTCTTCCTCATTCTTTGCATAGTATTTCATTTCTTTTATTGTATTACATTCTGGTGTAATGCAATTCATCATTACTTTTCTTTTTTAGATGGAGTCTCCCTCCATCACCAGGCAACCCCCAACTTCCTGGTTCAACTGATTCACCTCCCTCAGCCTCCCAAGTAGCTGGGATTACAGGCATGCGCCACCACACCCAGCTAATTTTTGTATTTTTAATGGAGACAGGTTTCACCATGTTGGCCAGGATGGTCTCAATCTCCTGATCTTGTGATCCGCCCGCCTCGGCCTCCCAAAGTGCTGGGATTGATTATAGGTGTGAGCCACTGCGCTCGGCTCATCGTTAATTTTATTTTGAATCTTATCTGTGTAGCAAGCAGAGCAGTGAGAAATTTTGTGGGCAGAGGAAAAAAATTCCTTTTTGCATCAGGTCAAGCCCCCAAACTAGCCAAAGAAAAGCTGTGTAATCTATTCGGAAGTGCTGGAGATGTGCTGCACATCAGGGAGAAAGAATGGAGAATTACTGATCACAACTGTAATCTCAGTTTCTATCACCCATAGCTATGTGAGCCCAGACAATCATTAAGCAATCTGGGTTCGTTAGATGGCTTCTAAAATCTCGTTCAGTAAAAACTAAGATTCAGAACTCCTGAGAAGTTCCAGCTAACATATACTGTGTAATATTTACACATTAAAAACAAATATCTCATTTGGTCTTAACCCAGTAGGAAAAAAAGATTAAAATATTTTGTAGTTGGAATAAACAGACCCTAATAATAAAAACTATGACCAGGGAAGTAATTTTAAAACATCCCAAAGGAAAGTTCTCTAACTTTGTAAATATTATAAATACTGCAACAGAAGCTACCTCAAATCTCTCAGCAAAAAAAGAATATAATTAAATAGAAAAACTAGCATAAGTCATCAACTATGTGCCTGCCCTTGAACTATCTTTCTGCATTTTGGTAGTTCTGTTTTAAATATGAGGAAAATAAGCTTCACAGATAAATGTTATTTTGTCTAAGACCATCCAGTTTGCTTCTCCATTAAACAATTAAGATGAATGTTCATTGCACAACTGTAATCTGTTTTATTAATACTTCCAAGTTTTCTACATGACTCTAGATTTATAGTCTCTATCAGTTCAATTGCTAAGAAAAAAAAGGATTAAAAACTGACCATAAATACTGTGCACCAAATTGATGTACTAAGAGATTGCTTTACATGGGCACATTTATGTTCAGCAAAGATTATCTGCTCTTCAATGACACTGCAATATAATTACTAGGTACAGAACAAAGAATAGCAGAGATCCACACACAATGGCTCACTGTCTTCAATGACAACACTATTAGGATCTCATTTATTCATTCTTTAAGTAAATGTTTTCTAACATTCAAAAACCAAAAAAAAAAAAAAAAAGACAGACCTGACAAACTGGGTGGCAAAAAACGTCAGGATCAGATTAAACATTTGTTTTGGACTAATTACAAAACTAATAATCCAAGTCACTATCATCAAGTCCAGTTGATCTCAGCTGATTATGTATGAAAACACCCTGTGAGGTCCATTAAGTTCCTATACCAAATCCCAAACATTCTCAATCAGTCTACAAAGTTGGGACCTAGGTATCTGTAGTTTTTAAAGTTCCTCATAAAATTCTGTTTCTAGGCAAATGTAATAGATACTATTAGTTACTCATGGTTTTCCTATCAGAACCGTGATTTTAAAAACTTATCCATTCTGTCCCCATATACCCCTCATGAGGCCTCCACTTCTACTCTCAGCTCCAGTAGACCTTACTGCCCTAAGTGTTATTCCAGACCCTTTGCCAGTGACTGGCTCAAGGATAGACAGGACTAAGTTATTTTAGAGCAATGAGACCTTAGGATATGGAAAGTGAATTCTGGGAAAGCTTTCTCATATTAGGACGAGGCCCCTAGAATCCAGCGTAACTCTTCCACTGCATGTAAATGAAGATGCGGAAGGCTCCAACTGCTACTGGCAATCATCCCATGACCACGAGGGTAGCCAGCCTTAGGATGATGCCAATGTTGTGGGTGAAAAGGGGGTGGGGTGCGGAGGCGGTCTCCCAAGGTTCTTGATGATATTACAGAATCACTGGATCAGAAACACTGCAGCCCATTCTATCTATAAATTTCACTTATTGTGATTCAATATATTTTCTTATTGTTTAAGTCATTTTCAGTTGGACTTTTAGTGGTCAGCATCTGAATGTTAAAGAGTGGTGCCAGCACAGCATTCTTTAATTATAACAATCTGCATCAAGTAGAATCCACACAAACACCCCTTCCTACTTACATAATCTGTTAAATCTGATTTATCTTTCCTATTTTAACAAAATGTTTAAAGATTAATTTATATCATTATACCTTTAAAGTATTTGACCTAAATGTTATTAAAATGTTTATGTGCATTGCATTCACTTAATTATCTACTCAGAGTTCTTGCTGTAGGCTTTGTCTTGAATGTGTATGACCATTCGTCGTGCATAGAAGTCCCTATATTCCTCTGGTAATTCGGCCAGTGTTTTCAAGGCTCTGTCCAAAATTTGTGCAGCTCTTGATGCTGCTTTAGGATCTTTGTTGCCATAGGTATCTGTTTTATCATAGCATTCAGATGGAAGGTGCTTCCAAAAGATGTTCACTCCCACTCCAAACTCTTCAGAAATTACATTATGGAACCACAAAGCTGGAGAAAGTTTAAAAAACAAGTTAAAAATAAAACCTACAGTTAAAAAAAAACCCAAAATGTCAGTGAAATATCACGAATTGCATATAGCCAATGTAAGAAATAATTCTTGTAACCAGATCCCTTCGTTAGCACACTCCAGGCTTTTAACAGAATCATTTTAACTTTTATGAATTGCCAACAAATTTAAAGTGTCAATAGCACAACCCTTACTTTTAAAACCTTTAGAAATAGCAATTTTTCCTTTAAACTTGAAAGACATAATAAAGATATATTTGTTTTGCAGTTCTCTAATCTAGGGCTGTGTTTTGTGTTACTTGTTTATACTTCCTGAGTCATGCAACCACATCAAAGTGTTTATTTTTTGGTACACAGAACATTTCAATTACTTGAGGAGTTACCTTTGACCTTTTCTGATTCACTACAATACTTTTGTCCCCGAAGACTTCCTGTTCAAGCTACAATTTGGTTTTCTAACTTGCTTAATTTCGTATTCATTATGGCCTCCTTAGTTTTATATTTCAAATGCAATTATAATCATCTTATATTTCTTTCAGCTTCTTTATAAATAGTATATAAAACTACAGCAAATATTTTGGTGGTGGAAATGATAAGTAAACTTTTATCATATTATATACCTACACTAATCACATTAAAAAACCCTTTAATCCTGTGAAAGGGAGATTAAATTTTAGAAACTTATTCTAAGAGTGTTTAAGGAAAAACAAAAGCTTAACATATTTTGATTTGGAAAACTAATTTTCAAACATGCCTTTAATCTTAACTACACTTTCTTTCAGAATCTTTTCTCCCTTATTTAATATAATAGGAAGAAACTGCTAAGCCTTCTGTTGAATTTAAACCCAAAGATAGGAATTTTGCTTTTGTTTAAAAATATATGCAAATATTCAGTATTTCTGTTTTTTCTTTTTTCATAAAACTGCATGTAGAATAAAGGAAAACCACACAGACCTTAATCATGTTCCCAAAATACAAAAAACAAAAATGTAAATTTAAAAGATGGCAATGGATTTGAAGACTAATATGTTGGTTGTTTTCAATGACAATAAGAATTAAAAAGTCAATCAAATTTTTATAGATGATCAATTATATGAAAGACATTATATCAGGCTCTTTGGGAGAAGACAAAGATGAAGACAAAACATGGTTCTTTGTCTTCAAGGAATTTATCATCTAGTCCCAAATGAAATAATCAAATATCTATCTTTATTAATATTTACTTATTTTTATCAATGAAAACAAGTTTTAATGATTCTTAATATATTTAGATACGGAACTACAACTATGAATAGAATTTGTTAATACATCCCTTTAATTTTAATTATGATTTTTATAATCTTCAAGAGTTCATTTTTAAGTATTAATTATAGATGTAATTACCTTGCTGTGGTGACTAACAACATTAAAACTTTATGTACTTTCAAACTAATGCCTATTAATTGAACAAAGAAATTAAGTGACACAAATCCAGACTGTATAGAAAAATAATGTAAACAAATGATACCATAGGTGTTGAGATTATAAAATGTTAATACTTAATGAAATCTTTCATCTGTTTTGGACATGAAAAATATTTATCTTTTTTTGATAAATATTTAAGTGGCAAAATTCTAAAATACATGAATATTTTAAAAATAATTTATAAAACCAATCAATATAATCTTTTCCCACATATAAAGTATCTCACTTGATGTCATTTAATAAAATAGAGGACAATATTATTTTTAAAACATAATTTAAAAAACCAACCAGTATAATCTTTTCCCAGATATAAAGTATCTTACTTGGAAAATTAAAAAAACAAACAAACAAAAAACATTAAAAAAAAGTGCCTTGCCTGATGTCATTTAGTAAAATAGTTTAGAGTATAATATTATTTTTACAGGTTGCCCTTGAAAGCAAGACTGTTAATTTAATTTATTTAGAGACAGTGTTGCTCTGTTGCTCAGGCTGGAGTACAGTGGTTTCATGATGCCATTGCATCAGCCTCCTCAACCTCAATCTGCTGGGCCCAAGAGATTCTTCTGCCTCAGCCTCCCAAGTAGCTGGGACTTACAGATGCACACCACCATACCTGACTAAATGTATTTATTTATTTTTATAGAGACAGGGTCTCACTATGTTGCCCATGCTGGTCTTGCACTTTTGGCCTCAAGCAATCCTCCCACCTCAGCCTCCCAAAGTGCTAGGACTGTTAACTTATAAATTTGCCTAGGCCTGCTTTAAGTGCGCGCACGCGCGCGCGCGCACACACACACAGAGTTTTGTATAAAAATCATCTTGTATAGGACAGGATACATATAACAAATATATGTTTGTACTAAAAAAAAAATCACATGAAGGATGAGTGACAGAGTATATATTTTATAAATAGCACATTACTGAGGTCTAGAAATCTTACCAGGAATGAATAATACATCACCAGCTTCAAGGGAACATTCATATCTTCTAGCCTTGGAAAAAAGTGGATATTTAGCCAAGTCTGGGTTATCTATATTCAGTACTTCTGATTTAGTACCTAAAAAGTTCCAAAAAGGGATCATGTAGATTCAACAAAGTTAGCATTTAAATAAAAGTAATTGTAAATATACATCTGAAAATTTATTCTTTTCTACACAATTACAATACCCGCACTGTGAGAATTACTATGCTACTGACATCTAAGACAGTTTTCAGTGACTCACTCTTTAATTCTGATGACTGATAGCCATGTAATATAATTAAGATAATCTCAAAATTTGAACCTGTTATTACATATATACACAAATACAATGGAGAATACAATTAGGAAGACATCCTAAAGTGTTCTTTTCCTGTAAGAATCAAGAGATTTCTCAAAGAGTAACTGAATAGACTTTAGAAATATAAACTTCAAAAAAAAAAAACAAACAAAAACCCTACCTTTTAAATATAAATACTGGGCATCTCGAGGGCTGAAGAGTACAACACGCTTTTTTCCTGTCACTTGTATTAAGAAATTATCCATTACCTGAAGACCAATAAAAGCTTATGGGGTAATTATTATCTAAAATTCAAATAAATAGAACCAATGGCATTCTAAACTTTAATTGAAAACCTGATCCTTTAATGAGAATTGATTTACTTTACTTAGGACTCTTACAGTCACCTAACAATAAAAACATTTGTATTCCATATACAACTGGGCCTTAAAGACATTTCTGCAGTACTGCCCTAAAATGGGAAGGCTTGGCAAATTAGGAAATGGGGAGTCAGAAAACTATTTACCCTTGTCATTAACTGACAGCACAGTTAAGCCTATTTAAGGCTCCCCTTGGTTAATATTTACTATCTGTTAAGGAATGCTATAAGCCCAATATTAGACAACAGAGTAAAAGCACTTAGAAAAATCAGATGCCAGGAAAATACAAGGTACTGCTGCAACTACTGCTAAACTCTTAATGTATGTTCAACCATAATTTCATTAGAGGTATCTTGATTTTCAAATTATTTTTATAGGGATATAATTTCACAGATTTTATTTTTTTTCTTTTCTGCAAACTGTATGGTGATTTATGACAGATTTGCTTAATATGTATTTATTATTGGAGCAATCTTAACTTTTCCTGTGAATGCAACAGTACACTTTCTTGGTAAAGATTGTGAAAAATGTTAAAGGCAGAGCCACATAATTCTCAGCTAAGGATTTAAGATAAACACTAAGCAAGATGCATTCATGACTTTTTACTTCTACCCAAGCATTCTTCCTTTTAGTACTAACCCTTTACTTATGTATACTATAACTATACAATCAAACTAGCATTCCTCTGACTTAATTTTATAAGAAAAGCTTTATATATTACATTCTATTATCATTCTTTTTTTTCTCTTTTTGAGACAGAGTTTTGCTCTTGTTGCCCAGGCTCGAGTGCAATGGCATGATCTCGGCTCACCACAACCTCCGCTTCCTGGGTTCAAGTGATTCTCAGCCTCCCAAGTAGCTGGGATTACAGGAGCCTGCAATGACACCCGGCTAATTTTGTATTTTTAGTAGAGATGGGGTTTCCTCCAGGTTGGTCAGGCTGGTCTCGAATTCCCGACCTCAGGTGATCCGCCCGCCTCAGTCTCCCAAAGTGCTGGGATTACAGGCGTGAGCCACCATGCCCCAGCATTCTATTATAATTCAAAGTAAAAGGGATACTACTTAAAATTTAAAACATAATCATAGAGGCTGGGTGCCGTGGCTCACAAGTACTTTGGGAGGTCGAGGGGGACAGATCACTTGAGGCCAGTTGTTCGAGACCAGCCTGGTCAACATGGCAAAACCCCATCTAGACTAAAATTACAAAAACAAATTAGCCGGGTGTGGTGGTGCATGTCTGTAATCCTAGCTACTCAGGTGGTTGAGACACAAGAATCGCTTGAACCTGGGAGGGGTTGGTTGCAGTGAGCTAGGATTGTGCCACTGTACTCCAGCCTGGGTGATAGCGCAAGACTCTGTCTCAAAAACAACAATAATAATAATAATGATAATAATCATAGAATGTAGTTACAATGTATTACCACATGATTTTCTCACCATGTCATTAATATAAAATATAAAATATGCTAAGAGTTTATGTCTATTTCATTTAATTACAGATTTACTGACTATGGTAAAATCCTCCCAAGAAGTTCTCAACTGAATTATAAAACACATGTATAAAACATTATAGTGTGATTTAGAACTTAAAAAAATTTTTTTCTCTTTGGAAACCTGTCAGATATTGCTCTACCTTCCTTAAGTTTCTCTACTTCCCAACACTAAACTATATACCAAACTAGTATTTTTAATGTTTTTAAAATGCTTATAGATGTGTACACAAACTTAAGCAAACAAAATAACACCATTGATAAATAATCAAGACCAATATTGCACACATTTTGCTGCCCTACAAATACAGAAGATATTTGATATTCTCAAGGCATATATATCCTAAGATCTTCAGATATCCTCATATCTTATAATTGCTAATGACTCAACAAGCTTCCGCCATTTTCCTGAATAATGTAACTCTGGAGAAAGCTATGAATCTCTGGGTGGCCAGAGTCATGTGTATCATTTACACCTCCTCATACAACAAGCTTATCACTTTTTTCAATACAATCTCCCCCCTTATCTGATGGCCATTTTTCACATGCAAAAAAATCACTTCATAAAACTTGGTATATAAATGATGATGAATCAAGAATTAGGACTACAGAGCAATACAAATGTGAGGAACCAACTAGGCTTTGCCATTAGCAAAATAATTCACTCCTATATCACTGCTATGCAGAGTACTTATTTTCCAAAAGTCATGTTTCAGCAAATTACACAGATCTTTAGGGTAGCCTATAGGAGGAAGTTAAAACTGTGACTGTTAAATCTATAATGCTAAAGATCTATTGTAGCTTTAGATATCTCATTTATGTAGCATACATCATAATGAGTCCAAAGTTGTAATCCTGGTGAACTAATTCGAAAAACACTGGAAAAGAACTGTTCCTCTTTGAAGAATTCTGGAAACTTAATATCTCCTTCCAACAAAGGAAACTGCTTTCTGATATCTGCAACATCCTGTATTTACAGAAACATATAAAGAAAAAATTAAATTAGACCCCATGATATTAAGGAAGAATGGGGAAAAACTTTGTTCACTGCTTTAAAATACTAAAATACTATGATGTGACCATGTGCCAATATATGATCTTTTTCCCTTCCTCCCTTCCTTTCTTCTTTCCTTCTCTCTCTCTCTTTTTTTTTTTTTTTTTGAGACAGAGTCTTGCTCTGTCACCCAGGGTGGAGTACAGTAGCACCATCTTGGCTCACTGCAACCTCCGCCTCCCGAGTTCAAGTGATTCTCAATTCTCTTGCTTTAGCCTCCTGAGTAGCTGGGATTACAGACATGCGCCACCACATCTGACTAATTTTTAGTAGAGATGGGGTTTCAATATGTTGGCCAGGCTGGTCTCCAACTCCTGACCTCAGGTGATCCACCCAACTCAGCCTCCCAAAGTGCTAGGATTATAGGCATGAGCCACCTCGCCCAGCTGATATATGATCTTTCAAATGAAGAAATACCAGGCTGTGTAACAAGACTGCAGATTTAATAGTATCACTACCATTAAGCTCAATATACTTCATTAATGGAAAGGTTCTTCCTACTTTAAGCGAGAATTACACAATTGTTGTCCACTCTAATATTCAGGAGTCAACACCCTCAACTAACATTACTAGTCATCACCTACATAAAATCTGTGAATTCTACTGAAGGAAGGGACTAAAAGAGAGGGTAAACAACTAAATGATGAAACTAGTGGAAAAAAAATCCCATTTGATCATTTTAGGGACTACTCCTTAACATGGCAACCATACTGATTTGACTCTGAGTACATGTCAAAACTTATACAATAAACTATTCAGGATTCTAATAATTATTTTTGGATTAATATTTTATTAGCTGAGTCACCACCTATAAAATATGCAGTAGAAGAAATTTCTTATTGTATAGCGATTAGATGACTATAAACACTAAGATTCTAAAGGCCTACCTGAATACAAAGTAATCAATTTTTAATCATCTTACTTCTTATTTAGAGGCACAAATCACTGAGAAAAGATGGAAAAGGATAAACAGGGTATATGTCAGGCAGTAAGTATAAAAATTACAGTGTTGCCAGTTAACATATATACATCCATTTAGATTTTAAGCAACTGTTTACCTTCAGAATTCTTACCTTTCTAGGATCTTCTCCAAGTGACCGTAAGTAGTATTTCTCATCCTTAAACATCCCATAGAAAAATAACATCAGCAATATTTTACTTTTTAAAATGTAAAAATGCTAAGATATGTATAGCTATCATGTATTCATAATAATTAAAAGTAAAAAAATTATGTACTCAGAACTATGGAAAAAAATAAAACACCTTAATTTCAAAAATATTACGAAGTAAAGAAGTTAGGAAACAAATCTTAAAATCTGACCCAGTTAAGTAGTTTTCTAAAAAGTTCAATTATTGCTGGTCATGGTGGGTCACACTTATAATCCTAGCACTCTGGGAGGCTAGGGCAGGAAGACTGCTTATGTCCGAGAGCTCAAGACCAGCCTGGGCAACAGAGTGAGACACCATCTACAAAAAAGTTAGCTGGGTATGGTGGTGCGTGCCTGGAGTCCCAGCTACTCGGGAGGCTGAGGCTGCAGTGAGCTATGATAGTGCCACTGCACTCCAGCTTGGGTGACAGAGCAAGACCTTGTTTCACGAAAGAAAAAAAAAGTTAATTCTCTTACCCTTTCTACTAATGCTCTCTGGTGGCCATATGAAGAAATGTCTTGCTCATAATAATGACTGGATCCTTAAAACATTAAGTAAAATAAATTCTAAAGACAATATATACATACCATCTCTAAAGCTACAATGAGTTAGTCTTTATATTTCAAATTATTTAGACTTATTTTAACAGTGTTTTAGTACTTAGCAAATACAATACAAATGTACAGTAACAAAATACCTTATGCTTTTAATAATATATATTTTTAAAATCTAGAACACTGTATTTTATAAATGTAAGCCTATCCCTGCCTATAAATTCTCAAGCCAAATGCTTAAGATTCAGCTCATGTATGAATTAGAAATATATAATTTCATCATAGTAAACTTAAATTGATCATTTAAAAATTATTTAAAATTTTTAAATTGTTTTCAGACAGGGTCTCATTCTGTTACCCAGGCTGGAGTGCAGTGATGCGATCATGCCCACTGCAGCCTCAACCTCCTGGGCTCAGGCAATCCTCCTGCCTCAGCCCTCCAAGCAGCTGGGATGTTCAGCTAATTTTTTTTTTTTTTTTTTTTTTTAACTATTTGTAGAGGAGACTAGCTATATTGTCCAGGTTGGTCTCAAACTCCTGGACTTAAGTGATCCTCCTGCCTTGGCCTCCCAGAGTGCTGGGATTATATGCATGAGCCACCATGCTAGGCCGAAAATTATTATTTATACTTCACCAAGTACCTAAATAGAGAACTGTTTGAACTATAAAACATTCACTGTTAGAAAAGTGAGACCAAGTCAAGCACATAGGCAATCCAAACTCAGAATTCTGCCACTTTCACCCAATACTGAGTTTTACAACACAAACTTCAAAAGATCATCATATTTATCTTAAGACATAAATTGATGATTGAAGTTTTAATTGAACTCTCAGATTCACTGTTTTTCTATTTTTAGCTACCACCACATCAGATTTTCAAAATACGTTCTTCAAAATTCTGAGGGTTTTCTACTAGTTCTAAGACTTAAAAAATAAAATTCATGCAGCAGACACAGAGGTACACTTCTCAGGAATCCCTTCTGATTCCTGAGAAAGAACTCACTGCTTAACTGCAAGAAGCGTGATTAGCTTAGAGCTACCAGATGTTAACTTCTTTAGGTCCACCTCAGGATTGGAACCCAGGACATGCTCTTCTTGGGGTAGTCCCAACCAGTGACTTAAGATGGTAAATGACCTGGACACTGCCACCCAATGCAGGACTTTTCTCACAGGCAGTCTGCTCAGGAGTTCCAGGATGAGTTGGCAGAGACTGTCAGATCTGTATCTACACCTGATGGCTTCCTCGCCTTTCCTTTCACAGGTATTTCTATTTAGCAAGCCCTTTGCAGTCCTAATTCCATCTCAGCATCTGCTTCCTAGAGGACCAAACTGACAGTTCATGTTGATCTTGTTTACACACTTTCCATAATTTTTAGACTTTAATCATTTACCATGTGTCTATTTCTTTTACTTCACATTTCATGGCTATTTAAATCTGTACCACTCTTTACCTTTAGACACAAAAGTACCAAAGGGCAACTGAATATACATGTTCAAAGCATGGCTATAAAGTTAGAAAACAGTTCTCAGGTGCAACTAATGGGATCAATTTTAAAAGATATTTTGGTTATATTACAGAATCACAGACCTACAGAGTTTGTGGGGATTGTGGTGGTAATCTAGTGTAAATATTACCTGACAAGAGAACTGTAAAAATGCAATGGCACAAAGCAAACAACAGCTTTATTCGAAGCTTAAAAAGCAATTTGTTTTTAAAATGTGCTTTTGAGTAACACAGTGAATTTTTTTTTTTTTTTTTTTTTTTTTTTTTGAGATGGAGTTTCGCTCTTGCTGCCCAGGCTAGAGTGCAATGGCGCGATCTCGGCTTACAACCTCCGCCTCCCAGGTTCAGGTGATTCTCTTGCCTCAGCCTCCCGAGTAGCTAGAATTACAGGCATGCACCACCATGCCTGGCTAATCTTGTATTTTTAGTAGAGATGGGGTTTTTCCATGTTGGTCATGCTGGTCTCAAACTCCTGACCTCAGGTGATCTGCCTGACTCGGCCCCTCAAAGTGCTGGGATTACAAGCGTGAGCCACCGCACCCGGCCAACACAGTGAATTTTTAAAAACATATTTATATACAAGGCCTTAATGCCTTACTCAAGGCATTTAAATTGAATTATTTAAAGCTAGACTATAATTAAGTAGAATTCTTCTGCATTTAATCCTGAACAAATATTGTAGCAAATACACACAGAAATCACATTGATAACAAGAATATGGAAACAGGCTAATAGTCAATACATATGAAAATGAAGTTCTCCATTAGCATTTGATGTTGGCATATCAGACCAAAGCATTTTAAAAGGAAGTAACATTAACAGCTAACATTTAATGAGTAATTTCTATACATCAGGCATACTGCTAAGTATTTTACTGACTTTATTTAGTCAATCCTCACAAACACTTTATAAAATAGGTACTATTATTACCCCCATTTCAAAGATGACTATACTGAAGTACAGAAAAATAGTTTGGCCAGTTTGAGAGCTAATAAATAGCAGAGCTACAGTCTATGGTGCATCCAACTACATCTTAAGAATGTCTATCAGAGAAGGCCATAGCTCTTGTATATCTAGTATCCTTTCATGAGAAAACCCATTTAGTATACAGATATTAATGACTTCTTTTAAAAATGTTAAACGTAATTACCTCTGAAATAAAGAATTCTTTATGCTTCTCTTCAGCGGCTCTCTGGACCAACTGGTCAAAAGGTAAAGTTCTGAAATAAACAAAAAGGAATCCTTGGGCTTAATAATAACAGATTAACTAGTAAGAATGTAATCACTACACATAAAGGCTTGTTGCAGTTGGATATACTTTCCTGTTTTACACTATCTGTGATTTTTATTATAATCTATTATGTGAAATTCTAACTTTTCAAAACTCATTGAGCAGTAGGCTTACTTGACCTAAGTTGTCTAAAATTTTGGAATTAAAGATTTAAAACTCTATGGTTCTAATGGATCCTTCTATAGGTCAATATTCTTCTATTCCAAGTTATGATAGAAAAATGTTCCTATGGTATCTGATTACCTTTGGAAATACACAGACTTTCAGGTTCTGCTACCTGTTTTTAAGTGTCATGGCAAAACAAATCTTATGAAGAGTGGGGCAAACTATTCATGCTACTTTGAAAGAGACAATACACAAATGGTCCCATGAAGATAACCACCCTCCATTCTTCCCGCCTTTTGGCACTATCACAGAACACAGAAGCCAGTAACACTGCTCTCATCCTTGCTTCTGAGGAATAGCTCAAGGAGAATTCCAGTGAAGTGACCAATTTTTATCCTTCAAAATTTCTGCCCAAATGCCTGTCTTATTCCATCCTGATGAACAGGGCTGAACACTGTGGAAGCAAAGTTTGTTTTCTTTACATCACACTCTTGAGCTAGAAGGATATTTTTACTCCAGATTGCTTCTATCCCTTCACTTTCTAAAATCAAAAGTACTGCCCTATAAATGAAGATTATACTGTGTAGGTAACAAGACAATGAATTCCTCAAAAGCCTCTAGGTCAAAAGCCCCTCCTCTGCTCCCTGCACTGCACTCCTGCCTCCAAACTTCTGATTAAAAGCTGAAATCTTTTCAGTCTTACTACTAAATATCTTCCCACTTGAACTCTGTACTGAGAAAGTGGAAAGGAAAGGTTAGCTAAACACTTTCTTCTTCTCTATGAGATGACCTAGGGCCAGCTTACTTTTTCCTTGCACTGTTTTCCCAGAAATATACTAAGTAAAAACAAACATGGTGTGAACCCATGAATTATGTTGAATAAAAAAAAAAATTAAAGACAAATGTGGAATGTCAGTTGTGACATCAGGTAACACTGTTTATTGTAAAAATAACCTTTGGTTGATGAATTATGTCTGCACTATGTGGCTTATGAGTAGACTATAAACACTTGTTCAGAAGTAGAGGATTTGGCTTTCCTGTGTATAGTGCAACTCTCCTGAGTACGGCCCTTGGAAGAATGCAGAAGCTAAGTTCATGGGGTGTTTCAAGCTACTGGTTTCTGTGGCCCATGTCTCTTACCTAAGCTCAGGTGTTTCTATACTGCCTCCACAGTCTCATTCCCTTACAACTAAGCTATAACTTGATGAGTCAAAAAATAGTCCCTGGATTTGTATAAAGGCTCCACTGATACTATCTTGCTAGAATGCCATTTTCTGCCTTATATCCTCCTGCAAAAAGCTAAGGGAATCTGATGCCAGGTTATGGATTGGTGGGTGCTGTGAATGTCAATCTGAACTTCAGGCCACTCCTGGTAATTATGTAGAGTGAGCATTGCAGGAGAGGAAAGAGGGGTTTGCCACTACTCAGACCAATGCAGAGTATGATTTCTTGGACTATAAATAGTGTCTGACTAACTAATATCAACAAATTTACTTGGCATTCTCCTACTCAATGTTTCCCATCTGTGACCTCACCATATACCCTTCATTCCTTCATGCTTTCATTCTTCAAAGCATCTTTGAAGGGTCTGGGCCAGTAGGGAAGCTTATCTGGACCATAGCTACTATTGTAATTGCTGCATTTACCCAGGCTTAGCTTTCTTACTAGGGCAAACACAGAAGTATTCTTTAGACCTTTAGAAAAACAGAGCAGAATAGTGACCCTGAAAAAGCAGACAGAGTAGCTCAGCCCAGATAAGCAGAACTGGGGTGCCACCAGCAACCTTCTCTCTCTCTTTTTTTTTTTTTTTTTTTTTCAAGCTCCAGCAACTTTTATTTTCATGAGTGAGAGTTGGAGATCAGCTGTTAGGTTCTGTGCCCATGACACTGACTGCTGCCTGGCGCCCACTCTCTATACAGTCATTAACAGTAACCCCCTCATAGGAGGCTCCAGCCAGAGTCAGGGGCAACCTGTGAGCGGCCAAGAACTGCCTAGCTGACTCTAGTTTTTGCCAGTGACCTAGTGTATACTGGGGGATGCAGTTCTTGTGTAGATGGACCAAGCAGTGACTTGGAAGCTCCTTCAGTCCTAATTGTGTGGCAGCTGCCTCCTGTGCCCGCTGTTGAAACAGCTCCTGAGATAAGACACAGCCACTTGCCTCCAGCGTCTGTAACCAGGAACCTCCCAGCATCAGTCACTCTGAGGCCAGGGGGGCTCCCATCCTGCTCAGGGAAAGCAACTGAGTCATACACAATTCCCAGGACGCCTGGATCTTCTGATCTACCTGTCATAGCTTCTGCTAAGCCCAGATGGGGGAGAAATTAGGTATATAAATTGGGAAGTTGTTTGACTTTTTAAAAATCTATCCAAGTTTCAAAAAGAAGGGCACTGGTTATTAACGTGCCATTTGTCTGGACTGGCGGCACCAGTAAGGAGGGTAATGTCAAAGGTTTAATCACAGACTCTGTGGAGTCAGGGAAATTTGAGTAAACACCTTGGGCTCCATCATTTCAAGCTATATGATCCTGAGAAGTTACTTAATATTTTTAAACCTCTCTTTCCTCATTTGTGAAATTATTATTAAAAATATCTACCTCACAGATTGTTCTGAAGTTTAAATGAGTAATATAACCTAGATTGCTTGGCACAGTACCTGATAATATAATAAGTGCTCAGTAAAGGACAGATGGTGGGGTTAACAGCAATGATAATGTACCCTTTTGCAGCATGCAAGTAGTCATCAACATTTTAAAAAAGAAGAAAAAAGCCCTTCACTGTCTTGTTCCCCATTTGGAAAAGGCTGCTTTAAAAAATGAAGATCAGAACTGATGAGAGCACAATAAACAACAAGAGCAAGATGATGACAGGAATTATAGGATGCGACAGATAGATGTGGCAAACCTGACATGATGAGACTTTTTAAAAACAATCTATGATCAGAAGAATGCCAACAATATCCTTTCAACACTCAGGGTTCTTTTGTCCAGACTCTCCTAACTCTGAACAATGAGCACTACCAAGAAGAAAGAAGTAAAAATTCATATTTGCTAATGTATCAATCTTCCAATGTTTGATGAAGCGTAATAGCAATCTCAATTTGAAGTGATAATCATAATAAATACGTGTGTGCAGGGTTTCTTACTTTCTAGTCTCTCTCTGGCCTGGATGCATTCCTTCTTTCTTACTGCTTGGTAAATGCTAAAAATGACTAAACCTATTTTTTTTCTTCCACTAAAAAAAATAATCCTGCAACTTTTTAGTAGCTCTAGTGAAAGAGGAAGCTGTGATAGGAACTATTACATAATGTATGTGCTTCAAAAACAAGTTTTGAAAAGTTTAAAAGACATGACAAAACATCAAGGCAATTCAAGATGAAGTTTCAATACTCGTTTGTTACGGCATTGGACTCTCTGGAAAATAAACATCATTAACTGCTGGCTGAAAAACACTCATCATTCCAGCATTTTTAATCTGATAAAAAATGAAAAGTTCTTACACTTGGAAAAACTTAGGGCAATTAAATTCAATTCATGGCCTATTAATAACTAAAACCATTATGGTGAATATTCAAAGGATTAAAAACTGAGCAATGCTTTGGCAGCTGCTATATGAACTTGGAAAACTAATGAGAAAGTAATGGCTGTGGACGTTAGAAGCTCTGTTTAACTCATCTCTAAATTGAAGTCTTGTGAACTACATGGCTTTTCAATAGACTGAATTTGCTGGGAACATCACATGCTCAGAGTTTGAAAGCTGTTTGTTTTTAATTTAACAATTTAAATGAAACTCATGGGAATAAATAGCAAATGAAATCTGCAAGATGACAGCATTTAAAACTTTCATCTTTAGACAATCAGCGGCTTTTGTCTATTTCTTATTTACTCTTAAGAAATTCCACAGCATAAAATGACAATCATGAAAGAAATTAAAGGTATTTAAGACTATTTTATCAAAAGGGAAAATTAAGTATGATTTTTTTAAGTTATCTAAGTTGATGAAAGATTATATCGAACATACCTTATCCTGGTTTTCTGGAGAGGACAGAAAAAGAAAACAAGAGCCTTTTGGAATTTCCTGTTCTAGACAACAGTTACTAATGTGGTAGGATCAATTAATTAATCAAGCATTGAATGAACACAGCACATCCAACTTCACACGTAATCTAACCCTAGTTATAGAAATGTTCTCTTCCTTCTAACTCTCCAGAAGGTATTGGGTATATACCCTATTTAAAAAAATTGTTGGCTAGGCATGGTGGCTCATGCCTATAATCCCAGCACTTTGGGAGGCCGAGGCAGGTAGATCACTTGAGGCCAAGAGTTTGAGTGCAGCCCGGCCAACATGGTGAAACTCTGTCTCCACTAAAAATACAAAAGTGAGCTGGGCATAGTGGCATGTGCCTGTAATCCCAGCTACTCGAGAGGGTGAGACAGGAGTATCACTTGAACATGGGAGGCAGAGGTTGCAGTGAGCCGAAATCACCCACCTGCACTCCAGCCTGGGTGGCCGAGTAAGACTCTGTCTCCAAAAAAAAAAAAAAACTCATTGTATAATTATGTAAACTCAGAAAATTCTTGTCTTTTAAAAACCACTCTTTAAAAATCAGTAAGCTATTCCATGATTACATCAAACCAGCCAAAAGATGAAATGCCATATGGTCTTTGTATAATAATGCAAAAATATTTTAAAAGTTTTAAAAAAGTTATTTGTATCCCCAGAGTAAACCTCAGAAGAAAATACCTATATACAAAGTTCTTACTAATGAAGTCCATCTGTGCAACTGCAGCAACATGAATCTTTACTTCTTTCTTCCCTCCAACTTGGCTTAGGTAATCCGCCGTCCATTTGCTTGTACATGGCCCCAAATCAATCCCTTCCAACACAAGAGGTTTTCTCTGTAAGTGGGGAAAGAAATACAAAAAGAAAATTCATGAAAACCAACAACATATCAAGAGCTGTATTTGGCAATAGGGAGACAAATACAAGTAAGATCGACTCTTGCTACCAAGATGCTCGAACTCAAAGCTTTTGACAGTTCATGCTGTCACTAAAACAAGAAGAGGAGCCATGTGAAATATCTAGAACAAAATTTTAAGATTAGAAAAACAAAACAAAACTGCAAGACCATCAATAGATAATGACTAAAATTTGTATTTTATAGTCAAATATTTTTGTAACTTTTAATTTTGATGTCATTTCAAACTATAAAAAAGTTTTAAGAACTCTACAAAGAATTTCCACAAATGCTTTACACCGATTCACCAATTGTTAACATTTTGCACATTTGCTTTATGATTTGTTCTTACTGTCAAGAGAAGGAGATATTATTAATTGAAATTAAACATAATTTAATTTTTGAGCCCATTTCAAGGTTTAATTGCTGACACCATGCTCCTTTATCTCTAAAAACTTAAGTATATTTTCTGAGAACAAAGACATTCTCTTATATAACCACAGAATAATTACCAAAATTATATTTAACATTGACGTAGGCCGGGTGCAGTGGCTCACGCCTGTAATCCCAACACTTTGGGAGGCTGAGGCGGGCAGATTACTTGAGGTCAGGAGTTTGAGACCAGCCTGGGCAACATGGTGAAACCCCATCTTTACTAAAAATACAAAAGAAAAAAAAATTAGCTGGGCATGGTGCTGCATGTCTGTAATCCCAGCTACTCAGGAGGCTGAGGTGGAAGAATTGTTTGAACCCAAGAGACGGAGGTTGCAGTGAGCTGAGATTGAGCCATTGCACTCCAGCTTGGGTGACAGAGTGAAACTCCATCAGACACACAAAAACAAAACATTGACATAATGCTACTATCTGATCTACAATCCATATTCAAATTTTTCTAATTGTTCCAATGATTGCCTTTAGCGTTATTTTTTTCCTAGCCCAGAATTCAATCTAAGATGCCACATTGCATTTAGTTGCAGTGTCTCTTTTAATCTGAAATGTTTAATCGTCAGCCTCTTTATCTTCTATGACCTTGACATTTTGGAAGAGTATAGGCCAGCTATTTTGCAGAAAACCCTTCAAATGGGGTTTATCTGAAGTTTCTTCATAATTAGACTCAAGTTACACATTTTGGAAAAGGAATGTGCCACAAAAGGAATGGTGCTGCCTTCTCAGCATGCCACATCAGGTGGCACATGATGTTTTGCTATGATGAGTGCAAAAAACTGATTTTTCTAAACTCCATCATTTCTTCTATATTTATTAGTCGGCATTCTAATATCAAAATAAGCTGTAACTTTTCCATTGAATTATTTTATTCACTGGGTAATAATCTAGTGATATAATTTTGATGCCCAGATTATCCCAGATTTGGCCAGTTAGCCCCTTCAAAATGCTTCTTGTGACTTTTTAACCTGGGCACTTCCTTACTTTATGGCAAAATAACACAATCTGACATCTTTTATACTTTTTCTGCCCAGCCCTGTGATCGGACATTTCTTAAAGTAGCTCTGGTTTCTTCAGTGGACAGAGCTAGGATATATGTGAGGATCTATGTATACCCCACAATTCACATACCTATTCTATTCAGCTCTCTCTCCATATATATCCATATATATAATACATGCACACACATATATACCTAATAGATGTATGTATGAACCATAAACATTTCAAGTTCATTATAGTCTACTGAATTTGTAATTCCCATTTTCAACAGTGAGAAACCTAGTTCCCATCCTCCTCAATGTTTAATCACTTGCAAAATCCCAGAATTCACAGGAAGTAAAGAATTCACAGAATTTGCTTTTGCCACTGTTAGGTCACGCCACTGTAAAAAACATGTCTACAGCAGGTCCTCAAATTAAGTTATAACTCAGATGAGAAAAAAAAAATCAATTCCTAGCCAGGGCCACTGTCTGAGTGGTTCTTCCATTCTCCTCACATCTCTGTGGATCTTCCTGGGTACTCTGGTTTCCTCCCACAACCCAAAGATGTGCACATTAGGCTCACTGGCATGTCTAAATGGTCCTAGTACGAATGAGTGCGTGTGTGTGTACATGTGTGTGTGAGTGCGCCCTGAGATGGGATGGTATCCTGTCCAGAGTTGGTTCCTATCTTGTGCCTGAGCTGCCAGGATAGACTTCAGCCACCTGTGACCCTGAACTGGAATAAGCAGGTTGGAAAATGAAGGAAAGAGTGGATACAAAGTATGTAAAACAAAAATTTGTAAAGCATATGATAATCATACAAGTGCACAATAAACAAGGCAGTATGAAAGCACTCAGTGAACCTGCCACACTTGTTTTTGAACTGTTCAGTGATAGGAGGTCCTCCTTACAATTTTCCATTTGTAAACATTTATTCCTTGATTTAACTCACCACTATAATGACCACTGTTGGACAACAAGTCACCAAAAATTGAGTAATTATTTGTTTATATTCATCTTTCTTAATTGTATATGTAGCTCATATTTATTTCAATATTTAAGATTAGAAGTATTTTGGGTCTTTATTTACAAGTTTGGTGATGTTTTTATGGCCATAAATATGCCACTGTAACTTAACTCTTGTTCATATCAACTTACCTGTGGTAAAAACTGGTTTCATCATAGGCCATTTCCCTTAAAGTTGCAGCTTCCAAGAACTTACAGAGAACATTAAATGAGGACTTACTGTACTAACTAGAATTCAATTTGTTTTCAGTTCTTTTTGTCTTAGACTGAGGACATATAATTAAAGTACTGGTGTTTAAAAAAAGTGACATGGGTAACTTCTTTCTCTCCCATTTAAATAGGTTCATGTGTTACTTTTTATATTCTATATTACAGGTTTTTAAAAAATAATTTTTCATCCTTGATTTTATTATTACTTTAGCATGTAAAACCTTAATGTGATTCCCCAAATCAAAACTATACAAAAGTCACCCCATCCATATACTTCCATCTCATACTTACACATCCCCTATGCATAACCGATTCTCCTTAATTTTTGGCTTACCATTCCTGTATTGCTTTTCTGCAAAGTGATCAAAAACATGTATTTCCCTCTCTCTTCCTTTTTTTACATAAATAGCTTACTATATATTTTGTAATTTGCTTTTTTAAAAATTCATAAATATATCCTAGAAATCACCACTCTCAGATCAGATATCACCTTTATTCTTTTTTACATCTTAGTATGCCTCAGTGTAAATGGGCCATAATTTATTCAGTTACTCTCATCTGCATAGGCATTTAGGTTATTTCCAATAATTTGCAAGTATAGAAACAGTATGTAAATATTTTCACATTTTTGAAGTTATATCTTCAGAATAAATTCCTAAATGAGGAATTACTGGGTCATAAGTAAACACGCATAGATATGCCAAAAGAGTTGTACCATTTGGTATAAAATTTGACAGTGCCAGTTTCTTCACAGCCTCACCAAGAGAATATTACCAGAGCTTTTTAAATTTTTGCCAATATGATAGGGAAGAAGTTGTATCTCAATGTAGCTTTATTTCTCTTAAGAGTAAACTTAAACATCCTAGTTTAAAGGCCATTTAAATGTTGCTTTTTCCTCCCCTCAATCATTTGTTCATTTTTCTACTAGATTTTCAGCCTTTTACCACCTCCTCACTCCTTTTTTTATTTTGAAACAGTCTTGCTCTGTTGCCCGGGCTGGAGTGCAGGGGCCCGATCTTGGCTCACTGCAACCTCCGCCTCCCAGGTTCAAGCAATTCTTCTGTCACAGCCTCCTGAGTAGCTGGGACTACAGGCACCTGCCACCATGCCTGGCTAATTTTTGTATTTTTAGTTGAGATGGGGTTTCACCATGTTGGTCATGCTGGTCTCAAACTCCTGACTTCGTGATCCGCCCGCCTGGGCCTCCCAAAGTGCTGGGATTACAGGCGTGAGCAACCACGCCCACGCCTTACCCCGTTTTAAAAGTTCTTTCCATACAAGGGCTTTTACTGTCCTTTATATGAGATATATGTTGCAACTATTTTCTCCTAGTTTGTATTTGTCTTTCAAATTTGCTTATAGTGTTTCTGGCATACAAATGTTTCACGTAGTCAAATTTTTTTTTTTTTTTTTTTTTTTTTTTTGAGACGGAGTTTTGCCCTTGTTACCCAGGCTGGAGTGCAATGGCACCATCTCGGCTCACCGCAACCTCCGCCTCCTGGGTTCAAGCAATTCTCCTGCCTCAGCCTCCCGAGTAGCTGGGACTACAGGCGTGCGCCACCATGCCCAGCTAATTTTTGTATTTTTAGTAGAGACGGGGTTTCACCATGTTGACCAGGATGGTCTCGATCTCTTGACGTGATCCACCCGTCTCGGCCTCCCAAAGTGCTGGGATTACAAGCGTGAGCCACCGCGCCCGGCCTCATGTAGTCAAATTTTAATCTATTATTACAGCTGAATTTTGAGTCATAGGTAGAAATGCCTTCCATTGACCTAGATTATAGAGGAATTTACCCATATTTTCTTCTAGCACTGTGTAGTTTCATTTCTTTACATTTTTCTGATCCACTTGGGAGTTTATTCTTATGTACAGTGTGAGATATAAATAGAATTTTATTATTTTCTAAATAACTATCCAGTTGCTCCAGCACCATTGGGGCAGTGAAACTCCTCTGTATAATACCACAATGGTGGATTCATTTTATTATAAATTTGCCCAAACCTATGGCATGTAAAATATCAATAGTATGCCCCAAACGTAAATTATGAATTTTGGGTGAAAATGATATGTCAATGTAGGTTTAACAATTGTAACAAATATACCACTCTAATGAGGGGATGTTGATCATGGAGGAGGCTATCCATGTCAGGGCAGGAAGGATATAAGAAATCTCTGTACCTTTGGTCAGTTGTGCTATGAACCTAAAAAGACTCTAAAAAATAGTCTATTTTTTAAAAAGTCATTTTTTGCCCTAGGGCTTTTTGAAATGTCATGTTTATTACATATGGAAATTTAGTGTGTAATTTCCATATGAATAGATATTTCTGAACTTTCAATTTTATTCCCCTGGTCTATCTATTCATGTACCTGTACAATATACAGATGGGGTTATTGGAAAATGTTTACAAAAAAACTCATAGGCCTATGTCCCCCTCATGCTTTTTAATGTTTCCAGATAGAAAGGTAGGTCATTTTTTTCCAATTTTGTTATTAATTTCTAGTTTTACTGCACTATGGCCAGAGAAGGTTGTTTGTAATTTTCAACTTTTTAAAATATAATGATGCTTTGTGATATATGTCTTGTCTGAAGGGATTAAATTACAAAATACCTTTTGCAAAATACCTTTTACTCTGCATCTTACAAAGCAATTCCACATACATTAATCTTCACAACACTGCCTTTTAGGCAACTTATGACTAGCACATTATAAGATGGGAGGGGTGGGGTGTCTAGAGACAGGGAGAGCAAGAACAACCCATGTAGTACAAGTCTCCAAATAAAGGCTTGAATCCTATTCGGTAGGTTGCTATCAAAAGAAAAACTTCATTCCTCCCATGCTCCACTACTTTCGCCTTTTTTTTTCTTTTCTTTTTCTTTTGGTTTTCTTTTTTTTTTTTTTTTTTTTTTTGAGCAAGGGTCTCTCCTTCTCCCGCATGCTGGAGTGCAGTGACAGGATCATGGATCACTGCAGCCTCAACCTCAAGGGCTCAAGCAGATCCTCCGACCTCAGCCTCCAGGGTAGCTGGGAAAACAGAGCCTGCCACATCTGGCTAATTTTTGTCTTTTTTGTAGAGACGGGGTTTCGCCATATTGGTCAGGCTGGTCTCGAACTCCAAGTGATCCACCCGCCTTGGCCTCCTAAAATGTTAGGATTACAGGCGTGAGCCACTGCACCCAATCCCTGACTTTGCTAACACTCAGAACTGTAGTTTTTTTTTGTTTTTTTTTTTGAGATGGAGTTCACTCTTGTTGCCCAGGCTGGAGTGCAGTGGCACAATCTCGGGCTCACCACAACCTCCGCCACTCGGGCTCAAGAGATTCTCCTGCCTCAGCCTCCCGAGTAGCTAGGATTACAGGCATGAGCCAACACGCCCGGCTAATTCTGTATTTTTAGTATAGACGAGGTTTCTCCATGTTGGTCAGGTTGGTCTCGAACTCCCGACCTCAGGTGATCCACCTGCCTCAACCTCCCAATGCGCTGGAATTACAGGAGTGATACACCGCGCCTGGCTCCAGAACTGTAGTTCTGTGACCACCCTTATAAATGCAAATATCAGGTAAGAAAATTGCTAGGGTTTTTTGTTTTTGTTTTTACCATAAACAGACTTACTGTAATACTGTGGATTTTTTTCTTTCAATATCTTCTGATTTTCTTAAGTCTGGATTCCCTTGTAAAAGCACTGCAAGTAAAAGCACTTTTTGTTTCCCTAATATTTCTCTGTTAGTTTTCTTTTAAAGACCTGAAGTTCTAACAAGTATAAAAGACTCCAATGTCGGAACTAGAACCTAAGTTAGTTAGAACTCAAGGCCAGTAGGAGTTTTCCGGGGGAATCCCATTGCTTTCCCTGTTGGCTCAATGGAGTGAAAAGCTGTGCCTCCAAATCCATTAATTTGGAGTAGACTGACAGGTGCGGAGTAGAGAGCTTAGGCAAAATACATCTCGCATTCAGCTCTCCGCTATCATCTTGCTCCCTACAAACACTGGACTTTCTCCGGAAATTTCAATAGAGGAGCCAGTTGGCGTCCCCGGTGCACCTGTCCCTTGGCCTAAGGGCCAACCAGTCATCTGCTGCAGTCCTGCGCCTCTTTCCCACGTCCTGGGTCTCTAGAAACCAATTCCGAGCAGTACGAATGGTAAAGACGCGTCTCTTGCTGGCTTCCCATGGTTCCGCCCCGCGCGAGGGCCTCACCTGTGGGTAGAGGTGCTGCATGAACTGCTCCCGAGAAACGCCCTCCAGCCGGGGTACCGGGAGGTGCTGCCCAGCCATGGCTGCTCACGCCTGCCCTCTTTCAGCCTCGGAACTTCGGTTCTAAAGGGCTCCTCAGCGCCATCCGCCCGGAAACACGACCGACAGAGAAAAGGTCCGCGAGGCCGGCGGACTCCAGAGTGGCTGGGTCCGAGCGCGCGGGGGGTTATTGAAGGGCCTCGGCCTGGGCTGCGTGCTGGAGAGCGGTGACGTGGCCGACTTACCAGAGGCGGCAGCAGCCGGCCAACTTTGCTTTCCAGTCTCCTTCTCCGACACCACTGAGGTGGTTTCCCACCGACTTCCTTTCGATACAGCACCAGCAGGCACCGGGGTGAAGGGTCATGAAAATGGCGCTGGCCGCTCGTCTGTTACCCCAATTGCTGAACTCTCGGTCGCTGCCTTGCGGGGCCGCCCGACTCCGGACTCCCGGTGCGGCCGAGGTGAGGCTGCCGTCGGCCGGACTTTGCTACCTTTGCCGATGTCGCCTCGGCTCGGGAGTGGCCTCATTTCCCCGAAGGGCTTGGGCCTCCGCGGCCTCGGTGCTACCTGCCCAGGGCTCCTGGCAGCCAGTGCTCAGCCGCCCGGGACTCCCCATAGCCTTCGCTTCTTTCCCTGCCTGCCCTCGGCGCAGCTACAGCACGAAGGAGAAGCCCCAGCAGCACCAGAAAACCAAGATGATCGTCCTGGGATTCGCCAACCCCATCAACTGGGTTAGGACTCGAATTTACGCCTTCCTTATCTGGGCCTATTTCGACAAAGAGTTCAACATCGCAGAGTTCTCTGAGGGAGCGAAGCAGGTTTGTTTATTTCCCTGGTTGACCTATCCATCTCTAATAGTTTATTACTCCTATAAGTGCTTAGCAGTGAGGTTTCTTCAGTGGGATACAAGCGATCGAACGTGATTAGTGGCCCAGACATAGAGCCTTCCAGCCATTGATTGACTTTAAGCTTCTGGGCCAGGTATGGTGGTACACACCTGTGGTCGCAGCTACTCGGTAGGCTGAAGGGGGAGGACCTCTTGAGCCCAGGAGTTGGAGGTTGTAGTGAGCTAAGATTGTGCCATTGCACTCCAGCCTGGCAGACAGCCAGGCCCTGTCTCAAAAAATAGAAAAAAAGAAAAAGCTGTTTGGTCCCATCTTGTCTGAGCATAATTTTCAAATCTACGAAGTGGGCAAGACAATGCCTGGCACATAGTAGGCACTCCATGAATGTTTGTTGAATACATTAATGAATGTATCAGTTTGAAGAATAGGTGAGATAACATTTCCTAAGTGATGTAATGTCACCTGGAGTAGAAGAGTAGAACTTCCTGGCAGCTATTTGACAGAGCCCACCAATATACCACCCCTTAATCATATTCCTTAAAGATTAAACTGGAGGTTAGCAATTTTGCCCCTTCAAAGAATTTGCTGAGACTGCCTGGTGGCTAAGTGCTCAGCACACAGAATATTTAGCTGTTAGAGATTCTTATCCCTGACTTTGTTAGTTATGTACCTCTTTCTGAATGGCTGATTATGCATTGCCTTACACTTGCAACACATGGTCACTTGGGTCCTGAGATCATTTGTTGATTTTGTGGGTACATGCTTTTTTTCTAGGACTAAGGGCCATCTATACCTTTCTTTGGACTCCTTTACAGATTGTATATTGTTCCCAAACGTTGCAGAACTTTTGATAACAATAGAAGTTGGCTGAGCGAGGTGGCTCATGCCTGTAATCCCAGCACTTTGGGAGGCCAAGGCCAGTGGATCACAAGGTCAGGAGTTCGAGACCAGCCTGGCCAATATGGTGAAACCCCATCTCTACTAAAAATACAAAAATTATCCGGGTGTGGTGGCAGGTGCCTGTAGTCCCAGCTACTCGGGAGGCTGAGGCAGGAGAATCACTTGAACCCTGGAGGCAGAAGTTGCAGTGAGCCTGGATCATGTCACTACACTCCATCCAGCCTGGGTGACAGATACACTCCATCTAGCCTGGGTGACAGAGCAAGACTCTGTCTCTAAAAACAAACAAAACTAGAAGTCATAAAGTTTATTTCCCGGTTTAAAACCATATGCCTTAAAACCATGCCATTGGTGTAATCATTTTACAATATTGGTTGTATGCTGGTATTGATGTTTTACTCCAAATTTATTTCAGATTCTTTCCATAATCGTGGCTTTTTGTATTTATGAGACCTATCAGTTGTAAATCAAATGTTGTCAACTTTGTGTAATAAGCGTCAGTATTAACTCCTGCTGCCTGCTTCTCTTGAGTCAACTCTTGACTACTATATATGTTATACTTAAAAAAAAGTCAAAGAGCAAGCTTAATTAAGATACATAACTCAGCATCATAATTAAGGGATAAACCTCTGTTCATGTCAATTCTCAAAATCTTTTGTCCATGCAGTGGCAAGTTGTATTGATCCTACTGTTCTCTACAATGCCTGCTGATGATATATGAGCTGGTCCACCTCATAACATATGGTACCAGTTCATTTATGTTCCAGGAAGGAATGGAAATCACCTCCTCACCATTGGCAGGAATCAAGCCTCAGTACTTGTTTCCTCTGAACACACAGAGGAGCATGCAGCATTTTGAAGGTCACTCCAATCCTAGTTGTCCTCCAGCTGTTAGCTACTTTCACCTGCTTCCTTGCTATTAAGCAGTATTTCTACCTCATTCATCAGCCAGTGTGTATGCAGTGTTGCTTATATAAAACAAACAACCAAAATTTCATCAAAGTGTCGGAGGGGCTGTTTTCTCCTGAGACCTCTCTCAGCTAACAGATGACCGTCTTCTCACTGTGTCCTTGCATGGTCCTCCCTATGCATGTGTACTCCTGGTGCCTCTTACTCCACATTTCCTCCTCTATAAGGATGCCAGTCAGATTGGATTTTGGCCCACCCTGATGGTCTCATTTAACTTAATCACACCTCTTTAAGGTCTTATCTCCAAATATAGTCACATTCCAAGGTTCTGGGGGTTAGAGCTTCAACATAAATTTAGGGGGAAGGAGAGCACAATTCATCCTGTAACAAGTAGGCAGTATTCTCTGGCATGCCATATCTGACATATCTGTGCATCCCCCAGCAGCTTAGATTGCAGCTTATTTCAGATTTCAGTTTAGATGTTACTTCCTTTAGGAAGTCCTCTGTGATCCTCGCAGATTAGATTTGATGGTTCTCCTTTATGCTCCCAAGTCATCCTGTTCTTATCCCTGTCAAAATTCTTAAACTTGTCAGTTTACTTGTCTTTTCTCCATGTAGACTGAACGTTCCCTGAAGACAGGATCTTAATTCACAGTTTGATTTCTCATTGCTAGTAATGGGGAGAATTGCAGTTGGGTTTTTACCTCCTTGAAAATAGAATTTCATACTTCAAAGCTAGGATCTACTGTTTTAGACCATATAAACTAATTACCTATTATCCCACTTTCCCAAACTTATGTTATCTCCCATACTGAGATTCAGACCACAGCCCAGATTTCCAGACTCCCAATACAGTCTAGACTGTTCTCCTTTTCAACTGCTATCTATGCACGATTAAGAGGTAGATCGTAGAACTGCCAAATGATTGTTTACTTCATCATTTTAAAAGGAAATAGAAAGGAGAATTTTTATTAAGACATCTAGATTGCACACCACACACTATCATTTCCCAGGCCTGAGAGTGGATTCAGAATTAAAGGTCAAGTCACTTACTGCTATATATGTGGAAAGGCCATATATGAAAAGTGAACCAACCTTGAAGGAGTCATGCTTTGATAAATTAATATTTGATATTGTTTACTTCTGTTACTATAAAATAGTCTTTATTTTACTTAGCCATTTAAATATGAACATGGTATGGTATTTTGAAATAATAATCCCCACCCTTCCCTTAATATTTTTTTTAAGGCTTTTGCTCATGTATCCAAGTTGCTGTCACAGTGTAAATTTGATCTGTTGGAAGAACTTGTGGCCCAAGAGGTAAAGTATATTTTACATTTTTCTTTAAAAATAAATGATATTCTCTTGCAGTAGAATGATGTACATTTTCCTTATTTATAAGGAAAATAAATAAAAATATTGTGTGTGCCAGCATCCAAAGTAAGAGTCTGTGTATCTGTTCTAATGGGTACTTTGGGTCATATAAAAGTATGGAATAACTCTTGATACTTAAGGCATAAGTAAGTAACCATAATGTCTTTCAGTTGCTCTTATATAGAATGTTCTGTTAGAAATTACCTAGTTGAATAATGAGATGCATTTCAGCCTTGCTTTTGAGAAGGAGTAAATATGGTAGTAAATTTAAAAACAGGTTTGGAAAAATGTATCCATGATAAAGATCACTTTTTGAAAGGTTTCAAAAATTGAATCGGTGAACTAATGGCTTGCTTTTTTCAAACTTAGGTGCTACATGTATTGAAACAAAAGGTTACTTCACTACCTGACAACCATAAAAATGCCCTTGCTGCTAACATAGACGAAATTGTATATACATCAACAGGAGACATCTCCATTTACTATGATGAGAAAGGTAATGCCAGAGCATAGGTAACTTGAAATGATCCATAATTGTCCAGAAAGCTAAAATAATAGATAATCACAAAATAGTAGAGTTTTGTCAGGACAAGTAAATATTTATAGAACTTCAAAGAAAATGTTATATCCATTCTTTAAAGACCTACTTTTGAAAGAGTTGAGATATGGTAATCATTTCTTAAGCCTTTCTACCTAGAAATTTTTTCTGCTACTATTTAATTCACAGTAGAGAACATCATCACTTACATTGTTGAAAATAGTTTGAGCGGCTCCCACATCTCAAACTGAAAATATTTGTGTTTCAGATTTCCTAACTTGAAGGAAACAATTGAGTATTTTAAAACTGTACATCATGTGGAAGGAATAAGGGGTAAAAGCAAATCAAAGTAGATAATGTCAGCTAAAGACGATTTGAAAAGATTAACTGCAGAACTCTCAAATTGGATCTATTTGAGAATAATGAAAAAAGCTGGGAGGAAGTTTAGTGGTTATCTGGTTCTTCTTGTCTGCAGCATACATTTTCCC